AAAGTTTCAAAAACTGTGGGCATTCTTTCTAAGATCAGATATTATGTACCACGCCCTGCTCTGGTGACTCTCTATTACTCCCTTATCTATCCTTATCTCAACTATGGTATTTGTGCTTGGGGTTCTACTACCCAAAATCACTTACGTCCTCTAATTACCCAACACAAAGCCGCTATTAGAACAATATCCAACTCTGGCCCCAGACATCACTCGGTACCCCTACTCAAATCTCTTAATATGTTAGATATTAAGTCACTGCACATTCTCTCATGTGTATTATACATATATAAAACGCTAAACTATAATGCCAATCCTGATCTTAAAAGCTTCATAGAAGGTTGTAACAGAACCCATGAGCACCACACCAGAAATAAATACAGTTTTGATATTCCTAGAGTACGTCTTAATCAAACTAGAAATGCTCTGCAAATCAAGGGGCCCAGAATGTGGAATGACCTTCCCAACCATGTTAAAGACTGTACCTCTCTCAACCAGTTTAAGATAAAAACTAAACACTACCTAATAAATTCCCTGTAATCTACCTCACTCCTCTATTGTCAACCCATGTCTGTTATTTTCTTTTTTTTTTTTTTTTCTTTTTTGTAATCAACACTGTTTGTCAACCTATTGTATTTGTGCTGCTTTTTCAGTCATGGTCCCCCTTTTTTTTATCTTTATTTGTATTTGTTCTCAACATCTTTTATTCTTTATGCTCAATTAGTATTAAGTTCTAGATATTAATGTTTTTCTTGCCCGAAACGCATTGCGTAATAGTGGCTTTAGGCATTGTATGTACTAGCTCTATCTATATATCAATCCATTAATGTAACATCACTTGTATGTATATACCTTACCTGAATAAACATCTGAATCTGAATCTGAATCTGAGGACTTTCAACTCCAAACTAAAGACTCACCACCACCACCCTCTTCATCTCCACAAAAAATAGGCCTTAAAAAAAAATAATAGAAAATAATGGGAACTAAATGCCCACTATTTAAACAGTGATCCTTAGTGATCACTGTCATTAGGCTACATTGTCTATACTTAACTATTTTTATTCAGAATAATGAGCAAACTGGACACACATCTCTAACAAGTATAAATCAAGTCACATAATATTTGATGAACGATGGGTTGATGTGCCAATGTCAACAACAGCTCATGAAGAGCAACTAAACATCTTCTAACACATCTCTACCTCAGCCTTTGAGCGCTCAGTAAAGAAACAATGTTGTAAAATAAGGACCGGATATAGCAGCAGCCCTACGAGTTAATTTCAAAACTATTTAAAGCCTTTTATAGGCATAACCCTTTGAGATGAATGTTATTATGTTTATGTGGAAAACAAAATTATAATATTATACTTTAATTCTAATGGAAGTTTAAGAATTCTAATGGAAGTTTAATATAAATATTTAGAAAAGCTTGAGACTTTAAGTCTGAGATGAATACTGAATGTAATGGACTGGATTTAATTATTTGTTAATTTCTTGAAAGATTTATCATATAATTAAACATATAGTGCCTATTTTTCCTAGAATTTTCTGGCAAGGACACTAGATGGCACAATGAATGATGAGTACATTGCTTATTCATCATTATTAGATGGTTAAAGATGTGTTGGGTCTGGCTAGTAACTAGATGGATGACTGCAGACAGTTTCCCTGACCTGCTGCATGGGTAACAGCTTCTCCTCCATATCAACCTGCTGCATGGGTAACAGTTTCTCCATATTGACCTGCTGCATGGGTAACAGCTTCTCCTCCATATCAACCTGTTGCATGGGTAACAGCTTCTCCATATTGACCTGCTGCATGGGGTAACAGCTTCTCCTCCATATCGACCTGCTGCATGGGTAACAGCTTCTCCATATTGACCTGCTGCATGGGTAACAGCTTCTCCTCCATATCAACCTGCTGCATGGATAACAGCTTCTCCATATTGACCTGCTGCATGGGTAACAGCTTCTCCTCCACATCAACCTACCCAGGCTTTGCGCCCTGGAGAGGCCACTCCAGACTGACAACCAGAGCCCAACTCCATAGTTTCCTGAGAGAGATAGAGGCCTAATACTAAGGAAAGGGTCTCACAGTCTCCACTTTCTAATACCTTTCACTCATAACCAGTCTAATAAATATTTTGACAATATGCTGTCACTACAAAAGCACAAATAACCTTGATATTTTGAGTTCAATAAGTTGCACATTTTGATATTATAGCCAAAACCATTTGAATAACATTACACTGTGAAAACAGAGCATTCGTATCTGGATTTACAAATAAAATGAGATACAGTATAGATCTGATTTGAATGCAAAGCAAAAATTCTGAATACAACACATTTCTGAGTAAAATACAGAAGGCTCAAACATCTAAAACATTACACCTTGACAACACCCTCAGACATGATCACTCCAGCTGAGTAATGCAACATCCTTTCTCTTGGTCTTCTTACTGATATATCACAATAATAGTGAACAAATCCACAAGGGCCATGACGAGGATACGAACCTGCGTCCGGGAGCATCCCAGACACTGCCTTAATCGACTGAGCTACGACAGGGTAAAAGGGTTGAAACCGAAGTTCTACTGAACTTACTGGATCCCGTAGCCTCTCCGAGGCACAAACTTGGATTTGTTCAATTGATGCATCACGTTAGTGTGATCTCTGTGTGTAGTCACAATAATAGTGTTTTCATTAAATATTTTCCAGTCAATGCATTGAGTAGAGATTAAACACACATATACCAGGGTGATATTACATTGAACACTTTAGTTGATGATATTGCACTGACTGTTCACCAGGTCATCCACATAAGATATCCTCCAGCCACTAATCATGTATCCTCGTGATGGGTTTATGAAGAATACATCCTGAACTCTTTCTTATAATACAAGAGACAGAACTTATTCCTGTTGTTCCATATATGACAGTGATAATATTACAAGACACTACACTGACAAATATAATACTACCTTTAATATCAAGTTCACAAAGTCTGGTTGTACCAGAGAACAGTACTGCCTTTCTTATGCAGCATCTCGTGACTGATGTCGTCAACTCCTTGGAATCTTCAGATAACCCACAACATATACACAAACACAAACTACCTCACGCCCTCAAACACAAACTGGTTCTTGGAATCTTCAGATAACCCACAACATATACACAAACACAAACTACCTCACACCCTCAAACACAAACTGGTTCTTGGAATCTTCAGATAACCCACAACATATACACAAACACAAACTACCTCACACCCTCAAACACAAACTGGTTCTTGGAATCTTCAGATAACCCACAACATATACACAAACACAAACTACCTCACACCCTCAAACACAAACTGGTTCGATTCAGATCTTTTCTCAAATGATTACCTGTATAAACTAATTATAAACAGAGAACCAAGACAAGGCTTTAATACAACAGCTCACCAGATGTGTATGTAGGTGTATAGGAGGCCTGGTCGAGGACCGGGCCGCGGGGGACACTAAGCCCCGAAATCAACGCAAGGTAACTGCAAGATAAGTGTGAAGTAGAGTTATTATTTGTGATTTATTCAACCTACTTGGAGTTCTGAAATGACCTTGACATCAGTCAAGAGGTAACATACATACAAAGGTAAGTCCTCCCTGGGAAAATACTGTATAACCAAAAACGGCAACTCAAAGAAATGCATGCAAGTAAATTCGGTTAAACTTGCATTTCTTAAACTTGCGTTTCTTAAACTTGCATTTCTTAAACTTGCCTTTCCTCGAGCTTTCGAGCTGATCAAATTACCAAAGTGCAAACACATGAGCAAATTAAAAATAAATTCAAATCACAGATAATAGTGGTTTCTAGTCTTTATGAGAAAGAATTTTAACATTATAATGGCAATCAACACAAATAATACATAAATAAAATATAAAAGCCAATGCAAAATGCTAAAATAGACTTTTCTTCTCATACCTATATCATGTAACATCATTTTTTTGTTTAGAGCAGAGCATCAAGAGTGAAATCTCTTGATTGAAGTCGAAAAGAGTGAAATCGCTTGACTGAAATTGAAGATTGAAATCTCTTGATTGCTCTACATAGCAAATGAACAACTAACAGTTTATAACAAACAAGACTTAATTATGGAGCTCACTATTTTAATTTTATTCAGAAAAGTATATAAAGCAGTTACCATTTACCACTGTATTTACCAGTTACCATTGTTTCTTGGACGTAGGTTCGAATCCTCGTCACGGCCCTTGTGGATTTGTTCAGTTACCATTGTATTTACCAGTTACCATTGCATGGAGAAGTACAGAAGTTTGATACCATTATCACCAATTTTACCCATTATGAAGAGAAATATGTCAAGGCACAACTCCATTAGTAGAGATAAGCACATAGTACATGCCTCATTACTTGTTGTAGATTCTAATTTGATCTCTCAAGATTGTGGAGGATTGGGCACTTAGGAATTTGGATAAATCTGCCATTTAAATACTGATCAGCTCCTTACGGGCCTGACAGCTGAGTGGACAGCACTCGGGATTCGTAGTCCTGAGGTTCTGGGTTCGATCCCCAGTGGAGGTGGAAAGAAATGGGCTGCAAAGTTACTTTCAGCCTGATGCCCCTGTTCACCTAGCAGTCAATAGATACCTATACAAGAGTTTACATTCTTGTAAAGCCACTATTACGCGTAGCGTTTCGGGCAAGGTCCTTAACCCTAATTTCCCCGGAATACGACCCCGCCGAATCGTTTAACAACCAGGTACCCATTCACTGCTGGGTGAACAGAGGCTACAGTTAAGGATTGGCGCCCGGTCAATCCTCCCCGGCCAGGACCTGGGAGTTAGCCAGCTGCTACGGGCTGCTGCTTCCTGGGAATGTGTAACAAAAAGGAGGCCTGGTCGAGGACCGGGCCGCGGGGACGCTGAGCCCCAAAATCCTCTCAAGATAACCACAAGATAACCTCAAGATAACACCAAGAAGACACTGATTATCCTACTTTGATGTCACTAAGCTTTGGCCAGCCTTAGCTTTGTGATCTAGCTTGCAGTACATATTTTCCACTTTAAGATTTGACTGACAGATAGGAATGACATTTTACATTGTTATTGTTATCATAAGGAAATAATGGGAACATATGTATCAGGTAAATATGAGGGGGGGGGCCTTCGACAAGCCACCGGCTTCCTGTCCTCACCGAGGTCACTATTGTTAGTGGCTCTCAGGTAAATCAGGTAAATTAGGTCAAAATATTTAGCACTATACAATGCCTCTAAATGAAAAATGCCGGATTAAATAACTAGCTTCCATAATGAGATTTTTCACGACAATTTGTATCTAAGGTCCCTTTTACAATGGAACAAAAATAATCATTATGAACAAAGATAGTTTTATCTTTTTTTGAGATTTCATCTTTAGCAATATTTTACTAGTCTTACTTGTTACTAAATAAACACAACTTTAAGTAAAAAGAAAATATTTGACCAATAATTTCATATTTAAATATTTAAATATTGTATATTACACAGTTATGGCAAAAACTGTGTCCGTGAAACATGCGACGGAGGTAACTGGGGCAGCGCGGGTCTCCGTGCCCGCAACGCCTAGTTTCGGGCCAGTGCGTACCCATATCCGCAGCCGGTCTCCAAGGTAAGCTGCCTGTGGGTTCGCTAGATACCAAAAAAGAAAGATACAAGGCAAAAAAGTGCATTAAATAAAAGCTTGTATATTATAACTTGCAGCACAAATTATAATATGCTTGCATACAAAAGTTGCAAATATTAAGAGGAGAGAAGCAACTTCTAATAAAACCCGACAAAAACCTGATTAATTAAAAAGAACTTCAAATTAAATCTGAATAATTAAAAAAAGAATATGTAATATACCTGGGGTGGGGGCTCGGGGGTGGGGGGGAAGCTAGGAGGGAATACGAGCCTAACATGTACTGGATGTGTAAACTGGCTGCCCCCAGCACAATGGATTATACAATATTATTATTATAATCTGATTAATTAAAACGGTAAAAAGGAGTCTGATAATACATGGCATGTAAATGTGTGCTAAAGAAAAAAAAAGATATATATATATGTGTGTGTGTGTGTGTGTGTGTGTGTGTGTGTGTGTGTGAAAATCATGGAAATTAACACGTGATTAAAAATGTGACAGTGTCAGACCACGGAGGAAGAATTGAAACAGTGGTCTGACTCTGTCATATATATATATATATATATATATATATATATATATATATATATATATATATATGCGAACAAGCCTGAATGATCCCCAGGACTATATGAGAATGAAAACTCACACCCCAGAAGTGACTCGAACCCATACTCCCAGAAGCAACGCAACTGGTAACTACAGGGCGCCTTAATCCGCTTGACCATCACGAGTTGCCGTCGGGGAAGTGGCTCAAATAGCCTCGGCTATCACTTCCTTTTGACGGCCGTGATGGTCAAGCGGATTAAGGCGCCCTGTAGTTACCAGTTGCGTTGCTTCTGGGAGTATGGGTTCGAGTCACTTCTGGGGTGTGAGTTTTCATTCGCATATAGTCCTGGGGACCATTCAGGCTTGTTCGCATTTGTGTTCCTCACGTGTGCCCCAAAGAATGAGGTGATTTGGTGAAATGCTATGCCCAAGATTACCATCCGAGTTGCCGTCGGGGAAGTGGCTCAAATAGCCTCGGCTATCACTTCCTTTTGACGGCCGTGATGGTCAAGCGGATTAAGGCGCCCTGTAGTTACCAGTTGCGTTGCTTCTGGGAGTATGGGTTCGAGTCACTTCTGGGGTGTGAGTTTTCATTCATATATATATATATATATATATATATATATATATGCAAACAAGCCTGAATGGTCCCCAGGACTATATACAACTGAAAACTCACACCCCAGAAGTGACTCGAACCCATACTCCCACAACTGGTATGTACAGGGACGCCTTAATCCGCTTGACCATCACGACCGGACCATCCGGTCGTGATGGTCAAGCGGATTAAGGCGTCCCTGTACATACCAGTTGTGGGAGTATGGGTTCGAGTCACTTCTGGGGTGTGAGTTTTCAGTTATATATATATATATATATATATATATATATATATATATATATGTATGTATGTATAAAAATGTTCACTTTTTCACTGAAACTATGTAATGGTAAAACATATGTAAGAGAGAGAACTTCACCCATACAGAACCCTGTGTAGGGTGAAACCCTGTACTCACTCGCACTTTAAAATGCACTAACCTTCGGTGAGAGAGAGAGAGGGGTAGCACCTTATCAATAAATGCACTAACCTTCGCTGAGAGAGAGAGAGGTAGCACCTTATCAATAAATGCACTAACCTTCGGTGAGAGAGAGAGAGGGGTAGCACCTTATCAATAAATGCACTAACCTTCGCTGAGAGAGAGAGAGGGGTAGCACCTTATCAATAAAAGACTCATCATTATTGAACAGTTACTGAAACAATGAGCCATTCACTTTTGTTCATCATAACCAAGAGAGAGAGAAAGGGACCTTAGAAATGCACGATGAAATGGTATTATTAAGAAAAGTCATTTAGCATTTTGCAAAAATCCTCTACTGTACTTTCCTTACAGGTCTTACAAAAAATATTCCTTCTACACCAATGTTTCTAAAGTCTTGTGAAGGACACAATACACAAAATAAATATTAATATGATTGAGGATGACCATCACATGTTCTGTAGTGTAATATCTTTGGCTCAGTAGTTCATGAATCCTTCAAATCGCTGTGAATAAATTCCTCATTTCTACAATAATTCGTCATAAAAATTTACATCCTGGTACTGTACTGTATATGCAACTTACACAATAAGTTAATGTTACCATCACTGCGTGAGATGTAGAGACTAGACATCAATGAAAATGTCTCTTGATTTCCATCACACTTAAGGAAACGGAGAATCACAGACTTCCAAAGAGTCGTGTTTTGAGCATATATCATATTTTGTCTATCACATGGTAAACTTATACCTGCCGATATTAAGCATCTACTTCTTCAAGAAGAGGAAGAGAGCTAATTTGAATTTAGCTATCCAATTTTACACTTAGCTTTTCCATCTAATGTCCGTTTGTATATGTCGAACTGTTCTTCAAATTTAACCATATGAATTGATATCGTTTTCATGAGGCCACATGTATCTGTTAGTTTAATTTTTTCATTCCTGAACCGGGAATCACCTACTCTTCTGATTCTCAAACTTTCCCCCACTATACCAGTAAGCAGCACATCTTCCAAAACAAAGAATGTAGTGTCAAGAGCCTTCTGGTATATATCATCTACGATATCACTCGTAAAGAGATATGCTGGTCCGGTGAGAAAGTCTGGGTACTTAGATTTGCTGTAGGTTTTAGTATCAATAAAATATTTGCTCTTCTTATTCCTTACAGGTTTCCAGCCTTTGGCCATTCGACCATACATTACGTGGTCCTCCTTTGCCTTCGAGTCGATAAAATTTAAAAGTAAGGGCATGTTGATAAACATATCATCATCAGTCTTAAGAATGAAGTGTGACTCAGAGCAATATGTCTTAACCCATTCAAACATAGATATTGTCTTCAGTGTGAGATTACTATAATGATCAATAAAATTGGCTTGAATAATATCGCCATATAATTCATTCTCCTTGTCTATGTTGCTCTGAACATTGGCATTGGTGGTTCTCCCAACTACAAAGGCCATGACCACATCCTTCCTCACTGAAAAGTGGCCCCAGGTCTGTCTTACAGCTGTGCGGTGCTTCTCGTGGTCTGGCGCCGTTGTAATCAGTACCAGCACCTTCAGTTCCCGCCCATTGTTCTCGCAGAGTTCTTCATGGGCCATGCTGAAGCCTGATTCATATTTCTCACCAACCTGCAAATAATAAATCAATTATATATACGGTCATTTCTAAACAATATGTATATGACAAAAGTGATGTTAATAGTGAGCCTATGTCTCTCATAGGGGTGAGACATAAATGTTATACCACCAGATTAAGGGGCAGTTGAGTTTGATTTATTTAATCACTATATATACTCAAATCTCTGAATATGTTAGACATTAAGTCACTGCACATTCTCTCATGTGTATTATACATATATAAAACGCTAAACTATAATGCCAATCCTGATCTCTGAAGTACCTAACTTCATCTTCTTAGTTTCCTACACTGAGCTTTAAATTTGCTCTGTACCTAGTGTTACCCAATCTCCTAATTTTTATGTAATTTCAAACAACCTTATCATTGTGTTCATTGCTGTCTTCTTTTATGTGCTAGCCATATGCTGTATTGTGACTACCAATTTTTGTCAACTACCATTCAAGCTGTCTTTGCAACCAATCTTATATTGTTTCTGCTGTATTATGCCTACCAATTTTTTTGTCAACTACCATTCAAGCTGTCATTGCAATCAATCTTAGCTACCTATGTGCTTTAATATACTGTACCTACAATTTTCTCTCATCTTTTTTTTCATTTCATGTAATCTGTTATCATTTTTTGTCTATAATTTTGCAAGTATTTACCTCCTTAAAATTTTCTTAGATTAAGGACCTGCCCGAAACGCTGCGCGTGCTAGTGGCTTTACAAGACTGTAATTACCATATTTGTATCCTCACATTCCTTATGTACATTCTTGTATATGCATAAATAAATAAATAAATAAATAAATAAATCTCAAAAGCTTCATAGAAGGTTATAACAGAACCCATGAGCACCACACCAGAAATAAATACAGTTTTGATATTCCTAGAGTACGACTTAATCAAACTAGAAATGCTCTACAAATCAAGGGGCCCAGAATGTGGAATGACCTTCCCAACCATGTTAAAGACTGTACCTCTCTCAACCAGTTTAAGTTAAAAACGAAGCTATACCTAATAAATTCCCTGTAACCTACCTTACCCTTCTATTGTCAACCAATGTCTGTTTTTCTTTAAAGAGCGCTGTTTGTCAACATAATTGTATTTGTGCTGCTTTTTCATCTATGTTTTCATTTCTTGTTTTCATTCTACTCATTATGCTCAATTAGTATTAAGCTTGTCATTTAAGTTTATCATGCCCGAAACGCTTTACGTAATAGTGAAAATGAAAATATAAAAACGGAAACCACGTACAAAACTCAGGCAAATCATAACATAGAACGAAAAGGCAATGTAAAGGATCTGGGTGTACTCATGTCGGAAGACCTTACCTTTAAAGAACACAATAAAGTAGCCGTCACAACTGCAAGAATAATGACAGGTTGGATAACAAGAACTTTTCACACTAGAGATGCTATACCGATGATGATACTTTTCAAAACGCTTGTGCTCTCTAGAGTAGAGTACTGCTGCACAATGACAGAACCTTTCAAAGCTGGAGAAATTACTGACCTGGAGAGCGTGCAGAGATCCTTTACTGCTAGAATCCACTCAGTAAAACATCTAAACTATTGGGACCGACTAAAGAGCCTAAAACTGTACTCCCTTGAGCGCAGGCGGGAGAGATACATAATAATTTACACGTGGAAAATATTAGAGGGGCTGGTCCCAAACCTGCACACAGAAATAACATCACATGAGACCAGAAGACATGGCAGGATGTGCAGAATACCCCCGTTGAAAAACAGAGGTGCAACTGGTACTCTGAGAGAGAACTCTATCAACATCAGAGGCCCGAGACTGTTCAACACGCTTCCACTACACATAAGGGGCATGACTGGCCGACCCCTCACAGTGTTCAAGAGAGAACTGGATAAGCACCTCCAAAGGATACCTGATCAACCAGGCTGTGACTCATACGTCAGGCTGCGAGCAGCCGCGTCCAACAGCCTGGTTGATCAGTCCGGCAACCAGGAGGCCTGGTCGACGACCGGGCCGCGGGGACGCTAAGCCCCGGAAGCACCTCAAGGTAACCTCAAGGTAACTCAAGGTATATATATATATATATATATATATATATATATATATATATATATATATATATATATATATATATATATATATATACATATACATATATATATGGGATAACGCCAGTATCTAGGCTTTGTCTCCAAAGAATGTGAAGGGCCTGCAATAGTGTTTTTTTACAGTTCTTGATGAATATAGAGTTCCAAGAATCCGGGCCTGGTGCAGAGTGCATAGGCATACTGTCTATGGCTTCTTCAAAATCCAGTGAGGATAGGGTGACATCTGATATATGATTTGATGTTGGTATCATATCCATATCATATCCATTTGGGTTATCAATCTTTAGTGTGTTTAGTGGCTTGCTGAAGACAGTCATATTGATTCCTTAGTATTGAGCTCATTTCTTTGTTGTCATCTGTGAAAGTTCCATCTCCCTTTCGCAGGGGCCCGATACTAGATGTGGTTATTTATCTTGATTTTGCATAGGAGAAAATATATTTGGGATTTTTCTCTATTTCACTGATGGCCTTTTGCTCTCTTTGTCTCTCTTGGATTTTCTATGATTCTTGTAGCTTTAGTTCAAATGTTTCTATTTCTCTACCTAATCTTCTTTGCCGTTCTTGAGTTAGGATGTGACTCTCAAGTTGTTCCGCGATTCGTTTTCTTCGCCTATAGAGGGAACGCCGTTCCTGTTCCACTCTGCATCTCTTCCTCTTTTTTCTGTAGTTTGAGCATATTTCTTGAGCTACTAAGTTTATTTTTTCCAGCCACTGGTTCAGCTTTGCCTTTTCTTGCTGTTCTTCCCAGCTTATTTCTGTAAGGTCTTGGTATTGTAGCGAGTAGATTATCCCAATAATATACTCGCTCCAAATATAGTGTTAATATTCCTGTCAACCTTTGGAGATGAATGAGGTGAGGCGTTGCCCGGGCAACACGGTGAGGTGTTGCCCGAGCAATATAAGCAGCGGTGTAGCGAACATTGGCTAGTCTACTTTCAAGTGTGGTCTAGAGCAGACACTTGCGAGATACTGTACCAACGCTCAGTGCGCTCAACTCACACCAAAGTATCACCGGTGTACTTCTGTATATTCGACCAAATATATATATAGTATCTTAGTGTCTGTGTTTATTTGTCACCATACTTTACGTAACAATAGAACCGTTACAGTATATTTGCTCCCAGTTAATCTGTTTATTATTGAAGTTGAATTTGCTGAATTCTCCTTCCCTGGAGAGTCGGGACTGGTTGTGCAGGTCTACTCCCCACGCTTGTCAGACTTCAATTAGGTTGTGATCTGAGTAACAGCTATTTGTAATCGTTATGCTCATGATCAGGTCATCACTATTAGTAAAAATAAGGTCCGTGTTCTCTTTTCCTAGTTGGTTCTACTATTTGCTGGTTTAAGGCAAACCTGTCGAAGATCCGTAGCAGGTCATTTGCATGTGTCTGTTCAATTAGGCTACTTCCTGGTATTCTTTCTGATATTACTGTATTAGCCAGGTGCTTCCATTTCAGGTGCCGTAGGTTGAAGTCCCCAAGCAGGATGATGTTCTGAGCTGGATTTGTGAGGTTTTCCAAGCAGTGTTCTATTTTCATTAGTTGGTCTTTAAACTGCTGAGGATTTACCTCTGGTGACTTATATACAAGGACAATAACTACATTTAGGATCTCTATTTTGATTATCAGCACTTCCACCATATCATTTGTGATGTTTAGCAACTCAGTACAGATGAGTGTGTCTTTGATATATTTATTATATAATTTATATATATATATATTTATATATAATTTATTACTTAATACACATGCAGGGCTGAGCTCCTAAAAATTAATAATATTATTATATTTCAAATACTGTAACAACTACATAATTCCCAGTTTACAAATTTTATATCCAAAACCTATTTTTGTTTATTAAACTCGAGTTCTCATATAAAAATATCATCAATTATTCAAAACTATATCTGATATTTTACAATATTTTACCTTAATTTTGCCCTTGAGGGCATTGATAGCCAGTGAGGAGGAAGCGACTTGTACAGTGGGCTTCTTAACGAGTGATATTTTCTTAGTCGTAATCGGCTTGGGTTGTGGCGATGATCCTGTACCTTGCGTGAGCACTGTGTGCGTGAGTGCTGTGTGCGGCTGAGCTGCGGCAGGGGCAGCCGAAGTGACATTCTGCACAGCAGAGGTGACCAGTGCCGAGGGTGCCGCCATATCTGGAAACCAAGAAGATTTGTTTTCATTTCTTGTTTTCATTCTACTCATTATGTTCAATTAGTATTAAGCTTGTCATTTAAGTTTATCATGCCCGAAACGCTTTGCGTAATAGTGGCTTTAGGCATTGTATGTACTAGCTATACCTATAAGTTAAACAATCCTTGTAAATATTTATTGTATGTATGTACCTTACCTAAATAAAATTGTATTGTATTGTATTGTATTGATTGTCAAACTACCGCTTCATAGCATGTGCAAGGTTATAAGACTAGCAATAATGGTGACTGTGATTTCCTGCTAGAAGTGTTCTTCATACTGAAATATGCATAATGATGTATTGGTCATGAAAAGACCTGGGGTAAAAACTGGTTTAGGAAAGACCTGGATAAATACCCATTTGTAAGCAGAGTGATCAGTCTATTGATCAAATTACCAGGTAACATAATACACGTGGGATCACTTGATTGCTTTACGTGTTAGCTAAACATGTATATGGATGAGTTTGGGTATAAATAGGAGCTTGAAATATATAAGAGTTGATATAAATAGGAGCTACCTCATAAGGATCAACACACCACCTGTAATTCGCTTAATTCTTATGTTCATGGACCAAGCTGGTACTCTGGTGATCCCAAGACCAAATTTTCACAAAGAGGTCAGTGATAGCTTGAATTTGGTGTGTCCATAATACAAGAATCCTCCCTATCATACGTCAGGCTGCGAGCAGCCGCGTCCAACAGCCTGGTTGATCAGTCCAGCAACCAGGAGGCCTGGTCGACGACCGGGCCGCGGGGACGCTAAGCCCCGGAAGCACCTCAAGGTAACCTCAAGATAAGGTATCATGTTGCTGTAAATTTGTTTACAATGCCCCTATCATGTTTCTGTAAATTTCTTAAAATAAAAAAAATCCACAAACTGTTCTCTAGCCTTTGAGCCTGGCCTCAGGCTGGGCTTTTGGCGTTGAAAACCGTCCCAGAATCTCCCAGAATATCCCAGAAAAACTCCCAGAATATCTCAGAATCTCCCAGAAAAACTCCCAAAATATCTCAGAATCTCCCAGAAAAACTCTCAGAATATCTCAGAATCTCCCAGAAAAACTCCCAGAATATCTCAGAATCTCCCAGAAAAACTCCCAAAATATCTCAGAATCTCCCAGAAAAACTCCCAAAATATCTCAGAATCTCCCAGAAAAACTCCCAGAATATCTCAGAATATCCCAGAAAAACTCCCAGAATCTCCCAGAAAAACTCCCAGAATCTCCCAGAAAAACTCCCAGAATCTCCCAGAAAAACTCCCAGAATCTCCCAGAAAAACTCCCAGAATCTCCCAGAAAAACTCCCAGAATCGAGGTAAACTGCCGGTGATTTACCCTTTTTCTGCTACGAACTGTGATAAGAGATCTCATTAAGGGTTCTAATAATTATTTGACATGACAGGGGCCAGAGAGCTGAGCGGACAGCGTTTCGGATTCGTAGTCCTGAGGTTCCAGGTTCGATCCCCGGCGGAAGCGGAAACAAATGGGGGGCACACTTTCTTTCACCCTGATGCATCTGTTCATCTAGCAATCAATAGGTGTACTTGGGAGTTAGACAGCTGCTACAGGCTGCTGCTTCCTGGGGATGTGTAACAAAAAGGTGGAGGCCTGGTCGAGGACCGGGCCACTGAGCCCCGAAATCATCTCAAGATAACCTCAAGATAACCCCAAGATAACCTCAAGATAACCACGAGGACATTGTGTGGAAGGCCTCGTAGCCTGGTGGATAGCGCGCAGGATTCGTAATTCTGTGGCGCGGGTTCGATTCCCGCACGAGGCAGAAACAAATGGGCAAGTTTCTTTCATCCTGAATGCCCCTGTTACCTAGCAGTAAAAAGGTACCTGGGAGTTAGTCAGCTGTCATGGGCTGCTTCCTGGGGGTGGAGGCCTGGTCGAGGACCGGGCCGCGGGGACACTAAAAAAAGCCCCGAAATCATCTCAAGATAACCTCAAGATAAGGCTAGCAAATGGAAGATATCACTCATTACTGGTATTTTCACCCATAAATATGTAAGATCTAACTAGACGAATGAGATGCTACAGTCAGAAATGTCCAGATTTCCACATGAAAAGCAGCGAACGAATGCAATGGCTGATTGAAAAATTGAATAATACAGTGGTACCTTGCATAACGATCGCCCCACAAGGCGAATATTTTGGGTAACGACTGGCCCGATCGGCGAGAAATCGTCCCATATGACGAACGCTCGTTTGTGTAACGTCAACACCACATGGTGGGGTCACGCCACCACTGTCGACAGTGTTGTATTGGTGTCTCACACGACCAGTATCCGTCTGTATCGCTCCGCACACAATTCTGATATTCGTGTTGTTTTTTTTGTGGTTTTGTGACTACAATTCTGAACGCACGATGTCGTCCAAGAAGCAGCCTGCGAAAGCAGGAGTTTGCAAGGGGAAGAAAGAGGTAATCACTGTGGAAGTGAAGAAAGAGATCATAGCAAAGCACGAGCGTGGTATTCGTGTGGTTGATCTTGCCAGGGAGTATGGCAGGGCTCCCTCAACAATATCCACCATGCTGAAGGGCAAGGATAAATATAAGACGCTTGACGTGGCCAAAGGAGTTAGCAAGCTCACCAGCAAACGTCCAAAACTCCTGGAAGATGTGGAACGGCTACTGCTGGTGTGGATGAATGAACAACAATTGCATAGCGATTGTGTCTCTGAAGCTATCGTTTGCGCTAAGGCTAGGATGCTGTATGTGGACCTTGTCAAGAAGATACCAGGTGCGTCGTCTAAAGATGAGGAGGTATTTAGGGCAAGCCGTGGCTGGTTTGAGAACTTTAAGAAAAGGAGTGGTATACACAGTGTTGTGCGACATGGGGAGGCTGCTAGCTCTGATAAAGGTGCTGCTGAGGCTTTTGTGCCAGTGTTCCAGAAATTTGTTGATCAGGAGCAGTTTCTGCCACAACAAGTTTTCAATTGTGACGAGACCGGCCTTTTTTTGGAAAAAACTGACGAAGAGGACCTACATCACGCAAGAGGAACAATCATTGCCTGGCCACAAACCGATGAAGCATCGCCTTACTCTCGTGCTCTGCGCCAATGCAAGTGGCGATTGCAAGGTCAAGCCGCTGCTCGTCTATCACTCAGAAAATCCACGTGTGTTCAAGGAGTTTAAGGTTCACAAGACACGGCTGAATGTGATGTGGAGGTCGAACAAGAGGTCCTGGGTCACGCAGATCTTCTTTAGTGAGTGGGTAAATGACGTTTTCGGCCCCACAGTGAGAAATTATCTCGTCGACAAGCAGTTACCACTCAAGGCCTTGCTTGTGCTCGATAATGCACCTGCGCATCCTCGCCAACTGCAAGATGATCTGTTCCCTGAAAATCAGTTTATCACCATCAAGTTTCTTCCTCCAAAACCCACGCCACTCCTCCAACCCATGGATCAGCAGGTCATTGCTAACTTTAAGAAGCACTATATGAAGGCCTTGTTGGAGAGATGTGTTCATGTGATTGACACCACAGAGCTGACCCTCAGACAATTCTGGAAGGAGCAGTTCAATATCATGGGGGCCTTGCGTTTGATAGATAAGGCCTGGGAAGGGGTGTCACGGAGAACCCTACACTCTGCATGGCGAAACCTGTGGCCTGAGGGTGTCCCTGAGCGAGACTTCAAAGGTTTCGGTCCTGCACCTGCATCTGCATCCGCACCTGTGGATGACCCGGAGGCTCTTTTAGTGGATGATATTGTCGCTCTTGGACACACACTGGGTCTGGAGGTGGATGCCGCTGATGTGCAGGAGTTGGTGGAGGAGCACAGTGATGAACTGACCACCGAGGAACTCCTGGAACTGCAGAAAGAGCTGGTGCAACAGGAGGTACAGGAGCTCTCATCGGGGGAGGAGGAGGTCTGCGAGGATGCTATCCCATCTAGTGAGATCAGGGACGTGCTGGGCATGTTCGAAAAGGTGACAGCATTTGCGGAAAAGCATCACCCTGATAAGGCGGTGACAACACGGTGCGTGAACCTGTTTAATGACAATGTGCTGTCTCGATTGTGGGATATCCTCAAACGAAGACAACAGCAAGTGACACGCGATATGGTCAGTGGACAGGGTGGGAAGAGACGTGCTAGTGATATTGAACCACAACCCGGTCCTAGTGGGGTTAAATTCCCAAAGAGAGCGAGCCCGCCTGACCCAGAGGTGGTGTCACCCTCCTCCCCATAAGCCCTCTCCTCCCTCCCTCCCGATCGGCTCCCTCAAGCCAGCAACGACTCTTCATAAGGTTAAGTGAATATACACATGGAAACAGTCAAACAAACATTTATTTAACATGTACAGTATAATATTACCAGTGTATAATGTCATATTGTTGTTTTAGGGGGTGGAACGGATTATTTGTATTTACATTGTTTTGGGTGGGGAAAATTGTTTTGCATGACGCCGGTTTCACAAGACGACGGCGGCGTTGGAACGGATTAAATTCGTTATGCGAGGTACCACTGTATTCATGCAGAACTCAAAATATAACTTTTATCACACGGAAGACAGTGGAGATAGCATGACAAACATTTTTTTTTTTTTTTTTTTTTGAGATATATACAAGAGTTGTTACATTCTTGTAGAGCCACTAGTACGCGTAGCGTTTCGGGCAGGTCCCTGGAATACGATCCCCTGCCGCGAAGAATCGTTGTTACAACCAAGTACACATTTTACTGTTGCGTTAAACAGAGGCTACAGTTAAGGAATTGCGCCCAGTAAATCCTCCCCGGCCAGGATACGAACCCATGACATAGCGCTCGCGGAACGCCAGGCGAGTGTCTTACCACTACACCACGGAGACTGTAAGGTGAAGTGCATTGTAATAGAACATGCACTGCTGGCCCTCATCCGCACTGCAACCGCTAAACTATGTCCGCTACGGGCTCGCCATAGACCGTGCTACTTGCAACTTTTTGTTCTGAGTATCTGAATCTTCTACAACAACATGCCAGCCTGT